CCCGCGCTACGTCACGGTGCGTGTGTGCTCAATTCCTTGTTAATATGAATGAGTTCTTATGTCGCTGGCGTGCGGATTCAGATTTAGGTAAGTATGTCGCCGGTATGTCGTGCTGACGATTAGCGCCCCTGATTCCGATCGTACCAGTCACTATGGGTCCGTTCATTTCAGGGTACGTGTATTCGTGGACTCAGGGTGCACCGCATCCGAGCCTTCAGGGCCTTTTGCTCTCAAATCGAACGATGACTGTCGTCTGTCTGTCCTTGTCTCAAAACAGTCCGATCTGCACCCGTACGACGTCATCCTGATATAGCCTCGCCTTCGGCCGCTGATTCCGCTGATTTTGTAGATCTTCCTATATTATGGGAATGTGGCCGTGGGTAAGTTTTGGATTCAAGTGGGCGCCAATATTGATGTCCTCTTGACGCGAAGATCCAGCGCTCCGTGCTCGGGCGGTATCGAGTGGCGCCCTTATTTCGTCGGATTCGTACCAGTGGCAGTATCACTGTGGGTCCGTTTCATTTGAGGGTATGGGTATTCCGGCCCTATTAAGGGCATTCATGGCTTTGGGGTGCACCGCCCCGCGGGGACTCGACGATCAGCGCTGGACCTTGCGCTGGATTGCATTTGGCCGTGTATGTCGTTGCCCCGATATAGCTTGCACTTCAGCCGCTGATTCCATAGATCCTTCAAATATGGGCATTCGCGTTCTCCCGTGACGGGATTCGCGACGCGTGTGTACGGCGCAAACTCGACGAGATTGGCGCGTATTGAGGGTTTGTTCTCCTCGTTCTCCTCCTGACGCGAAGATCTGATCAGCCCTCGAGTGCGCTCCGCGTGCTTCTCCCGTATCGATGCGCCGCTGTTGATTCGTACCCGTGGCAGTATCGCTGTGGGTCCCCTCACTTGACTCGGAGGGTATGGATAATTGTGGATATTAAAGGCATCCCTGGACTATTAAGAGCGCTCGTGGGTTTGGGGTACACCGCACCGCATCCTTCTAACTCGAACGGCCCGGCCGGACTACTGTTTTCACGGGCTCGGTGACCTCGACTCCAACCCAATTGTTCCGTCCTCGCCTCTGATCTCCGCGCTGTCTTCGTGTCATGTATGTCGCTGTCCTGATATAACCCGAACTTCGCCCGCTGATTCCGTAGATCCCTCAATTCCGGTGCGCCGCATCGACGGGGTTCTCGACGTGCAGCAGCGCGAAGATTTGACTGAAACTGTTCCCGGAGATTACACTTCGATGGTCAGGTCCCCGTGCCACCCCCCACGTTCGCACTTCCATTGCAGAAGGCATGTCACGGTATGTGGTCGCCTGATATAGATTCGAATTCGGCCGCTGATTTTGGAGAGCTTCCGATTATGGGTATTTATGCACGGGAGCTCCACCATGACGGTGTGCTGCGACGGGATTCTCGACTCGAAACGCACGAATTCATGTGTTCGTTCTCTTTCGAAAGATCAACGCTCGAACACACTCCACGTTCGTCATGTCGGCTTCTCCCGTATCGGTTGGCGCCGCTGTTGACTCGTACCAGTGGCAGTATCACTGTGGGTCCCTTCGTTTGAGGGTACGTGTATTCCTGGCCTATTAAGGGCATTCGTGGGTTTGGGTGCACCGCACTGCATCGGTCTGCGGAGCCCGCATCCTTTCCGTTTGCTGGTTCTGACTCGACCTAGCATTGCCTGTTCTCGAATCAACCCAAAAGTTCTCACCCTGATCTTCACCCGTATGATATATGAACGTCGCCGGCTGATTCCGTCTCCGCAGATCCTTTAATTAATTAATTATGGCTATCCAGATTAATTACGGGCATCCAATTTCCGGACTCGACATGATCATCACGTGTAATCTCCGAGAACAGTTCCAGTCACTGCATCTTCAATATTAACCGAGGTCCATGAACCCCGAGCAGATCGTTACGGTGCGGTGCTCATTTCACCTGTCGTCGTCTGATATAGCTTCTGTCGTCTGATATAGATTCGGCTGTTGATTCCGAGTCTGCGAATCGTTCAATTTAGGTATTCGTGTCCTGCTGCACCGCGATCTACTCGGACGGGGTTCTCGAGTCCGAGGTGATCTCGACTCGAGGTGTTCCTGTTGACTCGAAGATCAGCGCGCCCCTCAACCGCATATTCAAGCGGACCTCCGAGCCGATTATGGGTGTTCGTTCTGTCAGGTGCACCTATTCGTTCTGTCAGGTACACCGCCTCCCAACCATTCCCCACGCCTCAGTGCCCGCGTGAAATTATCCTCTCTAGAAGACTCGTCTATAGCGAGGTACAAAAGAGAGAGAGGAAGTCGGACGTGGTGTATGGTGCACGCCCGCGCTCTCTACAGCTCGTACATGTGAGTGCAGGAGTAATGCGGCAGGCCTGGGTTCGACTCCCAGCGTCCGAATAAAAAATCAGTGAAACAGGCTTTTTTACTTGTTCGCTCCCAGGCGGATGATTTTTGCTCCCACTTAGCTAAGGATTCAGACGGAAGAGGGAGGGGCAGTCGGATGTGGTGCACGGTGCACGCCCGCTTCTTTCCGCGATGGAGAGTGGGAGCTCTGGGTTCAATTCCCAGCGTCCGAATTCCTCGTTGAATGCAGAACCTTTTTCTTTTTCCCCCTTCTCCAAACTGATAGTGTGTTCTCGCACTTCACCAGATGAAGAGTAGGGAGAGAAACTCGGACGTAGTGCACGGTGCGCGCCCGCTCTCTATAATGCTTCAGTGAAGATACATGCGGGAACCTTGGGTTCGACTCCTAGCGTCCGAATGCAGCACACGCCTTTGCGTCCTTTTTGCTCTCATCCAAGCTGATGATTTTCCTCTTACTTAGCAAGGTACAAAGGAGGGATTAGAACTCGGATGTGGTGCACGGTGCACACCCGCTCACCTTCATACGAATGCTGAGTCGAGGTGGGAAGCCTGGGTTCGACTCCCAGCGTCCGAAGAATTAAGGCCCTTTTTTTCCTCGAGTTCAACTAATAATTTGTCGTCTCGTATATTCAGGGACACAGGAAGGCGGGGAACTCGGACGTGGTGCACGACGCTCTGCTTACTTTTGAGTGCGGCAGTTCTGGGTTCGACTCCCGGCGTCCGACTGGCAGTGATTTGTGTCCCTTTTGTTTCTTCGAGTTCTGCTTAATTTGCGCTCATTTGGGTACAGGAGTGAAGCGAGAAGCCTGAGTTTGACTCCCAGCGTCCGAATAATCGTTCAAATTTAGACACTTTTCTCTTCATTTCCTTCATAGCGGTGAGCTTTTCATCTACTTCGGGCGGCTGAGACTGCTGAATTTATTTTCAGCGCTGCAGAGCCGGAGGTGATGTCAAGTTGAATTTCAATTCTTCTGTTCAAGTCCATGACATTTTCAATGCCAGGCATTGAGGGGCTCAACAAGACCAAGAAATCGGACGTAGTGCACGGTGCATACCCGCCATCTGTAAAGGGCGGAAACATAAGTATTGAGGCGGGAAGCCTGGGTTCGACTCCCACCGTCTGAAGAGCATTGTTTGGACTTTTTCCCTTCCCTTTCGTTCGTTCATCACAGCAAGAAGTATGCGATGCTCTCTCTGTCTTCACTCCGAGATTCGTTTTTAGAGCGGGTTGTGGGCTCGGAATTCAGCAGGATGGGGGATTGTTGAATTTTCTTGGTCTCTAAGTGCAACTATTGAGTTTCATTACATGCATTTCGGTGCACAGGGAGAATGGCCATATGGAAACTCGGACGTAGTGCATGGCGCACATCCGCTGTCTATGAAGCTGTCACGCAGGAGACTTCGAGGCGCGAGTCCTGGGTTCGACTCCCAGCGTCCGAATAGCAGGTCAGCCCACGTTTTTTTCTTTTATTACTTCTCGTCCCTTCCGTTTGAACACATGGGAACTTCTGTTACTCCCGACGGCCGGGACAGTCGAATTCGTGTTCAGCGCTGCAGCAGTAGCAGCAGTGATCATGTTAAATTTGTAATCTCCTGTTCAACTTTGGGCTGAGGATTTATATGCCAGGCATTCAGGTGCTTACCATGGCTAAGGACTCGGACGTGGTGCACGGTGCACATCCGCTCCTCTTTGAAATATACTTTGTCTTTGTTGAGGCGGGAGCCCTGGGTTCGATTCCCAGCGTCCGAATAAGGTATTTGTTGCCTTCGTTTTTTCTCAACTTGCAAGCTGATGATCTCAGCCAGGGCTCAGCTGAACAAAGAACATCGGGAGGATGCACGGTGCACGCTCATTCTCCTTTCAAGAAGATCATATTGCGATGTGGGCAGCCTGGGGTCGACTCCCAGCGTCCCGAAAGCCTACGCTACGAATTATTGAGCTCATGTCTTCAGGGACACAGCAAGGAGGGGGACACGGATGTGGTGCACGGCGCATTCCCGCCCTTCTTATTCAGGGCTGAAAGAAGGATGTAGGCGGGAAGCCTGGGTTGTACTCCCCGCGTCCGAATTCCCACCCTCCTTTTTAGTCTTCTTCTAATTCCTTACGTTTATATGCGGAGTATTTCAGTCACTCCCGACGGCTGGGACAGCTGAGTCCATGTTTAGCGCTGCAGAGAAGCAGCAGCAGCAGAGCCGGAGGGCCATGTTGGATTTGTAATCTCCTGTTCAACTTTGGACTGAGGATCCTTTGCTAGCTATTCAGGTGCTTACCCCGGCTAAGGACTCAGACGTGGTGCATGGTGCACCCACTCTCCTTAGAAGCTTAGACAAAGCCAACCATGTCAGTGGGAAGCCTGGGTTCGATTCCTACCGTCCGAATTATGAGGCGCTGTCTTTTTCTTTTGGCTCATTCGCCTTTAAGCTGAGGCATTTAGCATGGTAGAAAGACGGGTTATTGCTCGGACGTAGTGCACGGTCCATATCCGCTTTCCTTCCCGAAGTTCAGTGATGAAGTTGAGGCGGGAGCCCTGGGTTCGACTCCCGGCGTCCGAATGAGTGTGTTCTCTTTTCCCTTTTTGAAAAATCCTTTCAACAGGAATAAGCACCCGAATGGCGCATCGTTATTTCTAGTAGTTCATCGACTCCTCCACAGACTCAGTACCTGCACGTCTATTCTTCGGTGGGTACACCCCGTCCAACTACCCGACCCCGTAGCTCTTAACACCAAATTTCTCTCGAGTCTTGTAGTATTCGAGGCTGTAAGATGATTCCCCGGCGAGCGTGTCGAATATCAAGAATGAAAAAAAGAAAAAGGTTATAGAGCAAACCGCACAAAGGTCTAGATCTAGGGGATTCGAACCCCCGCCGAGCACAGACTTCATGAAGTAATCAACCAATGAAAGGTGCCCAGTGCACCTGCAGACCGTATTACCCAGTGGTGGATGCTATATACGAAGCCTGATCAGCAAAGATGTATGTACTCGCGGACAGGCGTAAAAATAAATAAATAAGAGGTCTAAGGGGATTCGAACGCCCGCCGAGCACATGCATGAGATACTACGTGCATGAAAGGTGCCCGGTGCACCTGCAGACCGTATCCGCTTGCGTTGGATGCTCTATACGAAGCTGCGTCAACACAGATGGTACTCAGCACCAGGTATAAAAAAGCTCAAGCAAACCGCAGCGGACCAGAGGTCTAGGTGCCCAGTGCGCCTCCCGACCTTATTAGCCTGAATTTTCAGATTTATTCGAGAGATGGTTCTTTTTCTGCGGTAATGATGGACCCAAGGAGGAGCAGAGGTAGCCTGCCCCTGCATACGGATGATCGGACAGAGGGCGTCTTGATTTTTGTTCTGGTTTGCGAAAGCGCTTGAAATAAAGCGAAAAGTTTGATAGCGAGCAGGCAGAACGAATGCGCCGCGTTGGCGTCGCAAAACCTTCGTTTAAGTAGTAGCAATGCGGAGGAAGAGTGGCTGTGAAGTGGCGGTGAAGTGGCGGTGTTGATGGGGGCAATATAACTTTCTTCCCTCTTCCTCGTCGTGGCCAGGCAGTTTTAATCTTGAAATTTGGAGTACGAAGACCTCCCGATCGGCGTCATATAAGAACTACGGCTATGCGCACTGACTCGGGTTGAATCGATGGCACGGCACGTGGAGCCAGCTTTAAAAAGCTTCCACTATGCGTCCGTCTTTCTTTACCCTTGCCACAACTCTCCTGCTACTGAACCCAAGCTGAAGAGCCAATGACGGAATACGACTACTCGCCGGAGGCCTACCAGCGACACTTCGAGACGCAGGCCCGCATTGCACGGTGGGCACAGGCGACCCACCAGGTGCCCCAGAAGGACCCCTTCGCCCCGCCGACGCCCGCCAACGGCCCGGCCCCGCTGCCGAGGGTGACGGGTCAGAGTAGCCGGCGGACTCGCTCGTCCGACCGCGACCGTGAAAGGGAAAGGGACCGGGGGAGGCGGCGCTCGCCACCCCCGCCGATGCCGCTGCCGACGAGACACAGAGACGGCCTGCCGCGCCCGCATACTGCCCCGCCGCAGCAGCTGTACCCCGCCATCGTGCAGCCGTACTACCCCGCCGCACCTCCTCCGCCACCCCCGCAAACGCAGAATCAGCACCGCCGCGCGCGCTCCTCCTCGCAGACCCCCGCCGCGCCGCCCCTGCAGCCGGCGCGCTCGCGGAGTTACTCGGTGGCACCGCACCCTCACCCCGCGCCAACGCCCGCGCGCGGGATGTCCTACCCCCCACCCACTGCTAAATACCCGCCACTCCCGTCGGGGTACGTCGACGCCCAGCCCCAACCGCAGTATGCCCAGCCCGCCCCAGTGTATGCACGGTACGCACAACCGCAGCCAATGCGGAGCCCGACGCGAGAGGTACCGCTGCTGAAGCGTATGTTTGGGTTCGGTGGCGGCGGGGGGAAGGGCCTGAGCCGGGAGAGCAGTCGGAGTCGGGAGGGATCGGGTGGAAGGAGGACGCCGAGGCAGCAGGAGACATATTGAATGGAAGGTGGGCGCAGCGCCGCTTCACGTTACACGCGGCGCCCGTGTGCCCCTTCCTCGCCTCCTCTTCGGGCCCTCCTTGGCACAACCGCCTCCTCACATTCTCCATCCGGCGTACCTGCCATCCTTACCCCGATTGCACGCCGCCGCCCCAGCGTATTACGCCGCATCGCGTCTCGCCACCGCCCCTCTCCGCCGACCCTCTCCAATCACCAAACCGCTATCCTCGCCCTTATCGCGGACGCCGCCGCCGCAACGTCCTTCTGCGCGTACCTACACATCTATACATCCTCCCGCCTACATACATCTCTCCTCTCCTCTCCTCCGCTACATCCCGCGATCTCCAATCGCACATCAATTCCTCCACCCTACACATCCCATCGTATACCCATCCTCGTACATACATAGCCCTCCATATCGAATCTACACAACTGCATCTCGTACCCGTCGGACTTGTATGTACAGTATATAACCTCATCAAGTTAAATGAGTGAATGAATGCTATGTCCATGCAACACACGGACGCATCTCACTTGGAGCTTAAAATACATCCAAGTACGCCGCTCGGAAGTCTTAACATTCATTAGACTGAATTATCTCTCTTCGCCAGGTTGCGGCCACTGCTGATTTTTATCTAGTATATCCAGGTGCACAACCAAGCTAAGAACTCGGACGTGGTGCTCGGTGCATCCCCGCTCTCTCTAAGGCTCCAGAATTGATCCATGATGCGGGATCCCTGGGTTCGACTCCCAGCGTCCGAATAATCCAGTACTCTTGCCTTTTTCTCGCTTGTTATTTCCGTTTGAGCACATAACATTTCATTCACTTTCGACGGCTGGGACAACTGAATTTACCTCAAGAACAGGAGGTCGATGTTGAAATCCTAGTGTTCGTTCACGACAATTTCAATGCCAGGTATTCAGGTGCGCAATAAAGGCTAAGAGCTCGGACGTGGTGCAAGGTGCATACCCGCGCTTCTTGCCAGAGCACATTTTAGGCGGGAGACCTGGGTTCGACTCCCAGCATCCGAATAGTAGATCAGCCCACTTTTTTCTGCTTTTCCTTTTTTACTTCTCGTTCCTTCCGTTTGAACGCAGAGCATTTCAGTCACTCCCGACGGCCGGGACAGTAGAATTCAAGTTCAGCGCTGCACTGCGGCGAGTGTCATGTTGAATTTGTAATCTCCTGTTCAACTTTGGGCTGAGAATTTATATGCCAGGCATTCAGGTGCTTATCAGGGCACGATACACACCCGCTCCTCTTTGTAAAACAATTTGTCTTTGTTGAGGCGGGAGCCCTCAGTTCGATTCGCAGCGTCCGAATAAGGTATTTGTTGCCTTCGTTTTTTTTTTACTTGCAAGCTGATGATCTCAGCCAGCGCTCAGCTGAAGAAAGAACCTCAGGAGGATGCACGGTGCATGCTCACTCTCCTTTCAAGAAGATCGTATTGCGGTGTGGGAAGCCTGGGTTCGACTCAATAGCATTGTTTGGACTTTCTTTTTGTTCTTCAAGTTTCAACTACTGGTTTTCGAATTTCCTTTTGATATATTCAGATAAATAAGAAGGAGAGGAACTCGGACGTGGTGCACGGTGCACACCCTCTTCCTATAGCATGGTCTTCAATGGCTCACAGCGGGAGCTCTGGGTTCGATTCCCAGCGTCCGAATAATGGAAGTCTTTTTTTTTGTGGAACCTTCGGGTTGATTGCGCAGACGATGGATGAACGCCTCAGCAAATATTTTAAGGGTTAGAATATCTTCATGCGCTGGTATGGTGGGTGGTTCGGAATTCAGGAGGCGGGGGATGTTGATTATTCTTGCTTGGGTTCAAGTTCGCGCTGCTCCTTCCATCCCATGTATCCAAGTACAGAGGATGAAGGTACCTCGGACGTGGTCTACGCTCGCTTCTCTTGGGGTTGGTTCTGCATTGTATGAGCGAGAAGGCTGGGTTTGACTCCCAACATCCGAATGCGCTTTGTGGAATCAAACTCTTTTTTCTTCAAAGTTCAACCGCTCATTTTCTTCTTATATATTCAGGTACACGTCCAAGATAGGAGCTCGGACGTGGTACACGGTGCACACCCGCTCTTCCTGGAAGGGCTTCGTAGGATTGGAGGCGGGAGCCCTGGGTTCGACTCCCAGCGTCCGAACTAGTAATCTTGTATTGCCTTTTTTTCTCGTCCGGCTCTAAGCTGAGAATTTTCGGCTCATTTATTCAGGTACACATCTAAGCTGAGGACTCAGACGTGGTGCACGGTGCACACCCGCTCTTCCTGGCAGCGGCTCACGGCAGAATATGGGGTCGGGAGCCCTGGGTTCGATTCCCAGCGTCCCAATGAAAGCGCGAGGCCGGTTCTTTTTAGTCCTGCTCCCTCTCCTCCCATTCAAGGTTGGACACTTCAATAACTTCCAGCGCGCCAAGTCTCACCGAGTACAGACAACTGATTTCTTTCGCCGAGCTGCAGAGCCAAAGGCGAAGCTATGTTGAATTTGAATTCTTCTGTTCAAGTTTGTGCCATTTTCGGACTGAGGTATTCAGATGCTCAACAAGGCTAAGAAATCGGACGTGGTGATGAGTATTTGTGGATGACGACGTACTACGACGGGATTCTTGCCTCGAAACATGCGAAGATCTTTAGTCGAATTGTTCCCTCGAGGATCAGCGCTCCCGTGCAGCATGCATGTCCCTGGTATGTCGTGCTGACCCTGTATCGATTGGCGCCGCTTATTCGATTCGTGCCAGTGTCAGTCGCAGTATCACTGTGGGTCCCTTCATCTGAGGGTATGTGTATTCCTGCCCTATTAAGGGCACTCGTGGGTTGGGGTACACCGCATCGCATCGATTCTGCAGGGGCCTACGTCTTTCCGTTCTCACTCTGATTTGCACCCGTATATCGTCGTCCTGATATATGAACTTGTGCCGTTGATTCCGTATCCGCAGATCCTTTAATTAATTAATTACGGGCATCCAATTTCCGGACTTGACCTGATCATCACGTGTAATCTCCGAGAACAGTTCCAGTCAACATCTTCAATATTAACCGAGGTCAACGAACCCCGAGCAGATCGTTACGATGCGGTGCTCATTTCACCCGTCGTCGTCTGATATAACTTCTGTCGTTGTCTCATATAGGTTCTTCTGCCGTCTGATATAGATTGGTACCCCCCGCCTTCCCGTGTCCCTGAATATACGAGACGACAAATTATTAGTTGAACTCGAAGAAAAAAGGGCCTTACATAATTCGACCAATTATTCGGACGCTGGGAGTCGAACCCAGGCCTCCCGCATTACTCCTGTATTCTCGTCAGCGAGGTTTAGACAGCGCGCGCGTGCACCGTACACCATGTTGGACTTCGTCTCTCTTTTGTACCTCGCTATAGAGCCTTCTAGGGAGGAAATACTTGATAGATTCACCCAGGCGCTGAGGAGCGGGGGCTGGTTGGGAGGCGGTGTACCTGACAGAACGAAGGGGTGCCCCTGACGAATGAACAACCATAATCGGCTCGGAGGTCCGCTTGAATATGCCGTTGAGGGGCGCGCTGATCTTCGAGTTAACAGAAGAGTCCGAGTCGAGATCATCTCGGACGCGAGACCCCCGTCCGAGCAGATCGCGGTGCAGCAGGACATGAATGCCCATAATTGAACGATTCGCGGACTCGGAATCAGTCTGTAGAGTGCGGAGACATAGGTATTGAGGCGGGAAGCCCGAGTTCGACTCCCACCGTCTGAATACGATCGTTTTCCCTCCCTTTCGTTCGTTCATCACAGCAAGAAGTATGCGATGGTCTTTCTGCCTTTGCTCGGGGATTCGATTTTAGAGCGGGTTGTGGGTGGTTCGGAATTCATCAGGATGGGGGATTGTTGAAATTTTCGGTCTTTCAGTGCAACTACTAATTTTCATCACATGCATTTCGGTGCATAGGGAAGAGGGAAACTCGGACGTTCGACTCCCAGCGTCCGAATAACTGGTCAACCCACGTGTTTTTGTAATCTCCTGTTCGGCTTTGGGCTGAGAATTTATATGCCAGACATCCAGATGCTTACCAGGGCTAAGGACTCGGACGTGGTGCACGGTGCACATCCGCTCCTCTTTGAAGTATACTTTGTCTTTGTTGAGGCGGGAGGCCTGGGTTCGATTCCCAGCGTCCGAATAAGGTATTTGTGCCTTCGTTTTTTCTCAACTTGCAAGCTGATGATCTCAGCTAGGGCTCAGCTGAAGAAAGAACATCGGGAGGATGCACGGTGCACGCTCATTTTCCTTTCAAGAAGATCATATTGCGATGTGGGCAGTCTGGGGTCGACTCCCAGCGTCCTGAATGCCCACGCTGCGAATTATTGAGCTCATGTCTTCGGGGACACAGCAAGGAGGGAAGCACAGATGTGGTGCACGGCGCATTCCCGCCCTTCTTATTCAGGGCTGAAAGAAGGATGTAGACGGGAAGCCTTGGTTCTATTCCCCGCGTCCGGATTACCACCCTCCTTTTTAGTCTTATTTTAATTCCTTACGTCTGAACACGGAGGATTCCAGTCACTCCCGACGGCTGGGACAGCTGAGTCCATGTTCAGCGCAGCAGCATAGCCGGAGGGGAGGATCATGTTGAATTTATAATCTCCTCAACTTTGGACTGAGAATCCTTTGCTAGGTATTCAGGTGCTTCACCCGGCTAAGGACTCGGACGTGGTGCATGGTGCACCCACTCTCCTTCGAAGCTTAGACAAAGTCAAACGCGTCAGTGGGAAGCCTGGGTTCGATTGCTACCCCCCGAATTCCGAGGCGCTGTCTTTTTTCTTTTGGCTCATTCGCCTCTAAGCTGAGGCATTTAGCATGGTAGAAAGACGGGTTATTGCTCGGATGTAGTGCCCGGTGCATATCCGCTTTCCTTCCCGATTTTCTCTGATGAAGTTTGAGGCGGGAGCCCTGGGTTCGACGCCCCGGCGTCCGAATAGACGGAGTCAATCTAAATTTTTGTTTTAAAATCCTTTCAGCAGGACCCGACTCAAGGCCGGGGCATTTTATAGGAGTTCACCCACTCCTCTATGGAAGACTCAGTACCTGCACGTCTATTCTTCGGTGGGTACACCCCGTCCAACTACCCGACCCCGTAGCTCTTAACACCAAATTTCTCTCGAGTCTTGTAGAATAGTATTCGAGCCTGTCAGAAGATTCGCCGGCGGGCGTGTCGAATATCAAGAATGAAAAAAAAAAAAAGTTATGGAGCAAACCGCACAAAGGTCTAGGGGATTCGAACCCCCGCCGAGCACAGACTCCACGAAGGAGTCAACCGATGAAAGGTGCCCGGTGCGCCTGAAGACCTTAGTACTCTGTAAGGAATGCTATATACGAAGGCTGATCAACAAAGATGTATGTACTCACGGACAGGCGTAAAAAAGTCGCAAGAATAAATAAGAGGTCTCAGGGGATTCGAATGCCCACCGGGCACATGCATGCACGATTTCTTGAGTCATAGGGAGGGTGCCCAGTGTGCCTGCAGACCGTATCAGCTTGCGTTGGATGCTCTATACGAAGGTGCGTCAGCACAGATTTACTCAGCACCAGGTATAAAAAAGCTCAAGCAACCGCAGAGGTCTAAGGGGAATCGAACCCCCGCCGAACACAGACATCCAATGCTCAAACGACGAATGAAAGGTGCCCGGTGCGCCTGCAGACCGTATTACCTAGGGTTGGATGCTATAGGAAGGGTTGTTAGCAGATATTTGTTCACGGACAGTTCAACGACAGTTACTTATATTTAAAAAAAAAAGAAAACACTAAAAGTAATCGCAGAGGTCTGGGGGGAATCGAACACCCGCCAACCACATGTACGAGGCATTTAGCTTCTGAATGGTGCCGGTGCGCCTGTAGACCTTATTAGCCTGAATTTTGAGGTTTATTCGAGAGATAGTTTTTTTTTTCTGCGGTGATGATGGACCCAAGGAGGAGCAGAGGTAAGTAGCCTGCCCCCGCATACGGATGATCGGATAGAGGGCGTCTTGATTTTGTTCTGGTTTGCGGAAGTGCTTGAAAGAAAGTGAAAAGTTTGATAGCGAGCAGGCAGAACGAGTGCGACGCGTTGGCGTCGCAAAACCTTAGTCGCGTGCAGAGCAATGCGGAGGAAGAGTGGCTGTGAAGTGGCGGTGTTGATGCTGGTATAACACCGCCATGCTCAACTTTCTCCCTCTTCCTCGTCGTGGCCAGGCAGTTTTAATCTTGAAGTTTGGAGTGCGAAGACCTCCCGATCGGCGTCATATAAAAACTACGGCTATGCGCACTGACTCAGGTTGAATCGATGGCACGGCACGTGGAGCCGTAGAATTTAGCTTTAAAAAGCTTCCACTATGGGTCCGTCTTTCTTTACCCTTGCCACAACTTTCCTGCTACTGAACCCAAGCTGAAGAGTCAATGACGGAATACGACTACTCGCCGGAGGCCTACCAGCGACACTTCGAGACGCAGGCACGCATTGCACGATGGGCACAGGCGACCCACCAGGTGCCGCAGAAGGACCCCTTCGCCCCACCGACCCCCGCCAACGGCCCGGCCCCGCTGCCGCGGGAGGCGAGCCGGAGTAGCCGGCGGACGCGCTCGTCGGACCGCGATAGGGACCGGGGGAGACGGCGCTCGCCCGCACCACCATTGCCGCTGCCGAGAGACGGCCCGCCGCGCTCGCAGACCGCGCCGCCGCAGCAGCTGCACCCCGCCGTCGTGCAGCCATCCTACTACCCCGCCGCACCTCCTCCGCCACCCCCGCAAACGCAGAATCAGCACCGCCGCGCGCGCTCCTCCTCGCAGGCCCCCGTGGCCCCGCCCCTGCAGCCGACGCGCTCGCGGAGTTATGCGGTGGTGCCCCATCCACACGCTGCTCCAACGCCCGCGCGCGGGATGTCCTACCCCCCACCCACTGTTAACTACCCGCCCCTCCCGCCGGGGTACGTCTATGCCCAGCCCCAACCGCAGGATGCCCAGCCCGCCCCAGTGTATGCACGGTACGCACAACCGCAGCCAATGCGGAGCCCTTCGCGCGAGGTCCCGCTGCTGACGCGTATGTTTGGGTTCGGTGGCGGCGGGAGTAAGGGCCTGAGCCGGGAGAGCAGTCGGAGTCGGGAGGGATCGGGTGGAAGGAGGACGCCGAGGCGGCAGGAGACATATTGAATGGAAGGGTGGGCGCAGCACCGCTTCACGTTACACGCGGCGCCCGTGTGCCCCTTCCTCGCCTCCTCTTCGGGCCCTCCTTGGCACAACCGCCTCCTCACATTCTCCATCCGGCGTACCTGCCATCCTTACCCCGATTGCACGCCGCCGCCCCAGCGTATTACGCTGCATCGCGTCTCGCCACCGCCCCTCTCCGCCGACCCTCTCCAATCACCAAACCGCTATCCTCGCCCTTATCGCGGACGCCGCCGCCGCAACGTCCTTCTGCGCGTACCTACACATCTATACATCCTCCCGCCTACATACATCTCTCCTCTCCTCTCCTCCGCTACATCCCGCGATCTCCAATCGCACATCAATTCCTCCACCCTACACATCCCATCGTATACCCATCCCCGTACATACATAGCCCTCCATATCGAGTCTACACGTCTTGTCGGACTTGTATGTACATATGTAACCTCATGAACGAATGAATGAATGCTATGTCCATGCAACGCCCGACGCATAGCATCTCATTTGGAGCTCAACATACAAATATGTACGCAGCTCGTAATTCCTGACATTCATTAGACTAAATTATCCCTCTTCTTCTGTTCGCGTCCACCACTGATTTTCGCTCCACTTATTCAGGTGCACAACCAAGCTAAGGACTCGGATGTGGTGCATGGTGCATGCCCGCTATCTCTGTTCCAGAATTGGGCCATGATGCGGGAGGCCTGGGTTCGACTCCCAGCATCCGAATAATCCAGTACTCTTGCCTTTTTCTCTCCATTTCCTTCTTTATAGCCGTGAGCTTTTCGTTTATTTCCGGCGGCTGGGACAACTGAATTTATTTTCACCGCTGCAGCAGAGACGGAGGTGATGTCATGTTGAATTCAATTAATATTCTTCTGTTCAGATTCATGACAATTTCAATGCCAGGTATTCAGGTACGCAACAAGGCTAAGAACTCGGACGTGGTGCACGGTGCACGCCTGCTCTCCTGTCGGCATCTCCAAGTAAAGCTGTGATGCGGGAGCCCTGGGTTCGATTCCCAGCGTCTGAAATCATACTTGTACCAATCCTTTATTTCTTCCCTAAGTCTAAGCCGATAAGTAATCTTCGTAGCACTTCATCAGGTCCAGCAGGAGGCTAGAGATTCGGACGTGGTGCACGGTGCACGCCCGCTCTCTCTACTCCACGGCCATCCTCTGTAGGTGATGCGGGCGGCCTGGGTTCGACCCCCAGCGTCCGGATAATTCTTCGAGTATAAATCTTTTTCTCTTCATTCCCTTCTATATATGTAGCAGTGAGCTCTTCGTTTGTTCATTTCCGGCGGCTGGGACTGCTGAATTTATTTTCTCCGCTGCAGGCGAGCCTGCAAAGCCGGAGATGAGGATTCCAATTCTTCTGTTCAGGTTCATGAGATTTTTAATGCCAGGTATTCAGGTGCGCAATAAAGCCGAGAAATCGGACGTGGTGCACGGTGCATGCCCGCGCTTCTTGCCAGAGCACGTTTTAGGCGGGAGACCTGGGCTCAATTCCCAGCGTCCGAATGAGCTTTGTAGAATGCTATCTCATTTTTCTTCAAATTCAACTGTTAAATTTTGTCTGATTTATTCAGGTACACGTCCAAGCTAGGAACTCGGACGTGGTGCACGGCGCACACCCGCTCTTCCTAAAAGCGCGGCACTCGATTTGGAGGCGGGAGCCCTGGGTTCGATTCCCGGCGTCCGAATAGCATCGCTTGGACTTTCTTTTTGTTCTTCAATTTTCAACTACTGGGTTTCGAATTTCCTCTTGAGATATCCAGATAAAGAAGGAGGAGAGGAACTCGTACATGGTGCACGGTGCACGCTCGCTCGCTTTAAACTTGAGTGTTCTGAGCTAGATCGTTCGAGGCGGGAGCTCTGGGTTCGACTCCCCAGCGTCCGAATGTACTAGTATTGACGGCCTTTTCCTTCAAGTTCAACTACTAATTTTCGTCTGATATATTCAGGTACACATCCAAGCTAGGAGTTCGGACGTGGTGTACGGTACACACCCGCTCTCGTTAGCATAGGGAGAAGCATGATGCGGAAAGCCTGGGTTCGGCTCCCAGCGTCCGAATAATTCGTCGAATTGCGATTTTTTTCTCATCATTTCCTGCTTTATAGCGGTGAGCTTTTCGTTTATTTCCGGCGGCTGAGACTGCTGAATTTATTTTCTCCGGCGCAGCAGAGGCTGTAGAGCCGGAGATGGGGGCATGTTAAATTCAATTAATATTCTTCTGTTCGGGTCCATGACAATTTCAATGCCAGGTATTCAGGTGTGCAACAAGGCCGAGAAATCAGACGTGGTGCACGGTGCGCACCTGCTCTCCCTGGGACTCAAAGCTGGTAATGTAGGAGGCCTGGGTTCGATTCCCAGCGTCCGAATGAGCTTTGTGGAATGCCATCTCTTTTTTCTTCAAATTCAACTGTTAAGTTTTGTCTGACTTATTCAGGTACGCGTCGAAGCTAAGAACTCGGACGTGCACGGTGCACACCCGCTCTTCGCAGCAGGGCTACACAGGATTTGGAGGCGGGAGCCCTGGGTTCGACTCCCAGCGTCCGACTGGCCGACCACCCGATCTTGTTTTTCTTTCGTTCCAAGCTGATGATTTTCCTCTTACTTAGCAAGGTACAAATCACAGAGAGAAAGTTACAAATCACAGAGAGAAAGTCGGACGTAGTGCTTGGCGCACACCCGCGCGATCTGAGGTATAGCCAAATTAATCCAGGAGAGCGGTAAGCCTGGGTTAGACTCCCAGCGTCCGAGTCAAGGATGATGCTGAAACCTCTTTTCCTCCTAGGCGCCAAATTGATGATTTTCGCTCGCACTTGGCCAGGGAAAGAACCATGCCAGGAACTCGGACGTGGTTTATGGTGCACGCCCGCTCTCTTTACAGCGGTGAGGTGACTTTGAGGCAGGAACTGTGGGTTCGACTCCCAGCGTTCGAATGATTCCGGGAATCGTGTTTTGTTCAACTTCACGCTGTAAATTTTCGTCGCAATTAAAACAGATACCAAGTAGGGAGAGAAACTCGGACGTGGTGCACGGCACACACTCGCTCTCCTTGACGGCCGGAGCTCTCAGTGGACAAGCGGCACCCCTGGGTTCGACTCCCAGCGTTCGAATCCGGTATGTATGACTTATGCTCGTTGAGTCTTTCAGTTGAGCATTAAGGATGCATTGCACCCTGATCATGGAGCTTCCAAGTCTCACTGAGGATACATGACTGGTCTCGTTCGCAAGGTCGCAGAGCCAAAGCCGAGGCCATGTTGATTTTTTTTTTCAACTTCACGCTCATCGTATTCGTCGCAGGTATTGAGACAGAGCAGGTATACGAATTCGGACGTGGTGCACGGTACACACTCGCTCTTCCTCGCACGGCTCATGGCGAAATATGAAGGCGGGAGATCTGGGTTCGATTCCCAGCGTACGAATAGCTGACCACTCGATATTTTTTTTCCTTCGAGTTTCAACTGTTAAATTTTGTCTGATTTATTCAGGGACATTACAGACCTAAGGACTCGGACGTGGTGTATGGCGCACACCGCCTTCTCTGGGCTCATCGTGGTTAAATCAGAACGGGAGCCCTAGGGTCGACTCCTAGCGTCCGAATGACTCTTCGGAATTGCTTTTTGTATTTTCCTGCCTCGCTGCATTCGGTGATTCACTCTTCACAGACTCGAGTTGACAATCCGCACAACAGAAAATTATTTGAGCGCAGTCCAGGATGAGTGAAGGTCATGTTGATTTTTATTTTTTCGTTTGTTTAATTTAGTCGGGAGATTTCGCTGGCACTCAGCCGGGTGCAAAGGAGAGAGGAAGTCGGACGTGTGAGAATGGGGTGTCCAAAAGAGTGGGGAGAGTAAGGAAAGTAGGGAAAGCAAGATTTCAATAATTTATTCAAGATATTGAGAGGCCTTTTATACCTCAAGAACAATGTAAATAGAACAATGCACATAGAACAATGACACAGTAAACAATGGGTTTCAGACCAGCTGAACACGTAGTTGTTTCAGCGCAGCATCTCCAGGCTATGCATTGCTGTGCATCTCCATGCTAACCATTGAATGGTTTCAGTGCATCGGCTTGCTGAATTATTCCAACAGGACGTGCACAGCCGCGTTTCTTGCTAGAGCGCAGGGTTTAGGAGGGAGACCTGGGTTCGACTCCCAGCGTCCGAATGGCTCTGCTGAGTTGCTTTTTGTGTTTTCCTGCCCTGAAAGGTCTACTGCGTCCCGTCTTCACTAAGTTGAGTTGACACTCGCACGATGTAATTCGATGCTGCGACGTTGATTTTTTTTTTTTTTCCGTCTGTTTAATTCGCGCGGAACAATTCGCTAGCAGGTAACCAGGTACAGGGAAGGAGGGGAGGTCGGCTGCCGCTTGAAGGCGAGAAGTCTCCGTTCGACTCCCAGCGTCCGAATTTGTAATTGTAAACACCTCTTTTCTTCTCCAAGCTGATGGCAGTGATAGGTAATCTCCATACCACTCAGACAGGTGCATAGCGATGAGGGAAACTCGGACGTGGTGTAAGCTGCACGCCCGCTCTCTGTTGGTAAGAAAATTACAACAAGTTGACGGTCGGAATGTAATCAAAAGTACGGAATACATGACCTAGTAGAAGCACCGGCCTCAAGGCCTACGACGCCTACTCGGACCTCTTACTCTTATGTGGGTCAGACTACTACAGTTTGAGAGGTCCTTTATGTAATGGCGACGGTGATCACTTAGGTGCTCTACACCCGCCTGGGACCCTATATATACCGAATTGATATCTACACAACTGTGTCTTGGACCCGCGTCTCGTCGCACTCTATCGCATAACCACCCGCCATAGGTTGAGTAAACGGCATGCCATTTCCATACCCTCTTGCTTGGAAGCGAATAATTTTCCTCACTTATCCTAGTGTGCAAAGAGAAGGGGAACTGGGACGTGGTGTACGGCGCAGGCTAGTTCTGCTTATTCTCGATTCAGGGGAGATTCTGCGGGAGCTCTGGGTTCGAATTCCCGCGTCCGAATACAACTCTTCCGTCAAAAATCTTTAGAACAGGAGTTGAGGGTGGTTCGGCATTCAAGAGGCGGACAACATCAATGATTCTTGCTTTTGTTCAAGTTCGTGCTCCTTTCATCCCAGGTATTCAGGTACAGAGGAGTGAGGGGAACTCGGACGTGGTGTACGGACCAACAGTTTCAGCTGTTAAAATTAATGTTTCATGCTGGTTAACACAAATTTACATTAATTTCTATGTTTACTACAACTGCCCTCTGCACTACTGAAAAATGAAACTATAGTGAAAATGAATCCAATGTTTCTCATGAATCCGCCTCTCGCAACCAGGGCCAATAAAGTGACCCCATGGGCAAGGATGAGAGTGCAAAATTATTTGCTGGCACTCCATGGGGAGAAAAGAATCCGAATGAAATGGTCAGGCGGAATGAATGAAAATGAAATGAGAATGAGAATGAAACCGGACGAAATGAAATGAAATGAAAATCTAAAGAACAAGTGTGAGGGTACATGAAACTTTCATGCCACTGAATCTGAATTGAGCACGCTCTAAAATGGAATTAAAATGAAACGCACCTTCCTCGCATCAGAGCCTGAGAAGCTCCACTGCCCCTTCGAATGCAGGAGGCGGTGGACGCCAAAATCATTCGCTTGGACCCCCATGACAATCACAGTGGAAAAGTATCTATTGCAGAGAGAACTCTCATACACCCCTATACTGCAATGCTTCAACACAAATCAGAAAGAAATGGGCACGTACATATGTACGTACAGAACACCGTTCACTTTCCAGGGGTACAAAGTTCGCCATGATGTAATGCACACAGAGTGCTGGGGTTCGAGCTGGGGGTAGTGGGTGTTCTGGGAGGTGGTCGTGGTCAAGAAGAAAGAGACAAGGGCTGGTACATGCCACTCACCGTCAATGGGCAACTTCACAAAGCTGTGAGTCAAAGCGTCCTCAAACAATGGCCACATCTTTAATAACAATTCAGCGACGCCGTGACCCTCGCGAAGCCGAGCAATAGCCGACGCAAAGTCAAGCTGATAAGCTGAGTTTGAGAGGTAGTATGGATGTCGCGCAAGATGAGTTTTGGTGATTTGATGGTGCGCAGTGTGTCGGCCATGCATTTGCTCCCTGCGGCTGTTCGGAGGCATGCGCGCGGATACGATGGACTTTACGCCCTGCATGTCTGCTGGACGACTCGCGTATCAGCGGTGCTTCGCAGCCTCCGTCGTGCGTCCCGAAAGCGGCCTGGAGCAGTGAAGTTCGACTTAAGCCATCTTGCTCAATTTCGAGAACATTGGCCCACCTCTCATTTGAGCACATACAAAAGAGGCGCCAATTGGGGAGTCCCAAGCCCTCACTGGGGTAACCGCTTGGACCCTAGGACCGGCGGTGCTTGAAGCTTGAATGGCGGGTGCTGGGATAGACAATAGCACCGATCGTTGTGTGTTTGAGCTCAAGAGACAGCGAGGCCGGACAATTAAATTCAACGACCCAGACCCGAATTCTATGGGCAACCCAGACGCAAAATCAATGGGGAACCCAGACCCAAGTCTATGTAATGAGGTGAAGATTGCCATGCGAACTGCTATGCTGTATCATGATTTGTTAGCAGGCGTGAATACATGAAATGTGTCCATTCTGTCTTTAGGGACCGGGACCGGGGCAGACGGCGCTCGCCACCGCCGCCATTGCCGCTGCCGAGAGACGGCCCGCCGCAGCAGCTGTACCCCGCCGTCATGCAGCCACCTCCTCCGCCGCCCCCGCCAACCCAGGATCAACACCGTCGCGCGCGCTCCTCCTCGCAGGCACCCGTGGCGCCGCCCCTGCGCCGACACGCTCGCGCAGTTACTCTGCGGCCCACCCACACGCTGCGCCAATGCCCGCGCGCAGGATGTCCTACCCCCCACCCAACGCGAACTACCCGCCCCTCCCGCAGGGGTAGGTCTACGCCCAGCCCCAACCGCAGTATGCCCAGCCCGCCCCAGTATATGCACAGTACGCACAACCGCAGCCAATGCGGAGCCCTTCGCGCGAGGTCCCGCTGCTGACGCGTATGTTTGGGTTCGGCGGCGGCGGGGGGAAGGGGTTGAGCCGGGAGAGCAGTCGGAGTCGGGAGGGATCGGGTGGAAGGAGGACGCCGAGGCGGCAGGAGACATATTGAATGGAAGGGTGGGCGCAGCGCCGCTTCACGTTACACGCGGCGCCCGTGTGCCCCTTCCTCGCCTCCTCTTCGGGCCCTCCTTGGCACAACCGCCTCCTCACATTCTCCATCCGGCGTACCTGCCATCCTTACCCCGATTGCACGCCGCCGCCCCAGCGTATTACGCCGCATCGCGTCTCGCCACCGCCCCTCTCCGCCGACCCTCTCCAATCACCAAACCGCTATCCTCGCCCTTATCGCGGACGCCGCCGCCGCAACGTCCTTCTGCGCGTACCTACACATCTATACATCCTCCCGCCTACATACATCTCTCCTCTCCTCTCCTCCGCTACATCCCGCGATCTCCAATCGCACATCAATTCCTCCACCCTACACATCCCATCGTATACCCATCCCCGTACATACACTTGTGCTTTAGGGCCATTGCATGCGCATGGCAGAACGAGTCCAGGCCGGGTTTTCCATTTCAAATACCATTTGAACTATACTATTCACTGTTTGAATTGCACGGAGACAACACAAATCCTCGGGGCACCAGGACATAATGCCGCGATCACACCTCAAGAATGTTGGTGGTGGTGCATAGGTTCATTTCAACAGAATGTCCAATTGATAATACCAACTCACTGACCAGAGAACTAGTGTGAAATCCATGTCATCTGCTTGGTCAGTATACCTTCGAATATCCTAAGCTTCACAAGGATGGCTGAGAGAAACACAACCGGAATCACTGAGTCGATCTCAGGGCTGGTAGGACTGTTGACCACCGAGGCTGGATTTCACAAGGATTGACTGAGGAAAGCCCTAGAGGCTCCTCGTTTCCAGATCGAAGGCAGCACTGCAAACAGACTCGAAAAACTAAAGTTGTGATGGGCATCCACTCTCCTTGTTCAGCAGATTTAAGCTGGATGTCATCTTCAGGTGAGCTTCACACCTGCAGAAGTTAAACCTTCCCCATCATTCTCTTTGCATCTAATTGCGGTAGAACAAAAGAACTTCATAAATTCCGTTACAAGAATCAAGCCATCTGAACACTCATCCGCAGATAATATGGATTCAGCAGGCTTGACAGGGAATCTGAACTGGGCTGCAACTGTCAGCCAAAGATCGAACCCAAAAATCCTGATGGTGTCAGGAGGACTACAGAGCACTCAAATGTGAACCCAGTGCTGGGGGCATGCAATGAGAGCTTCTGGATGACTTTGAAATTTGCCAACCAATTTTCCAGGGTTTGTGCAGGGATGGATAATATTAATCTCGCTTGCTCGTTATGCTCGAGGTCTGGGTGTCGAATGGTGATCTGAGTTATGAGGCAGCCTCATGCATAGTTGCCCAAGAAACGAAGTTTCTAGGGCTCTGCCGCTCATCGGCCTTTATTATTAAATGGCAAGTGATTACCTGCCAGGAAATGAAAACATCCCGCGCCGCCACGAAGAAAAAATGACTCGGCACAGCTCGGAGAGGGAACTGTCTTGTACGAGACTCGTGTATTCGTTTTTTCCATATGAGGGAAAAATCGCTGCTCCCTTTGGTTCGACTTTGGTCATTCTATATGTCTTGTTGGCCACTTTCCGTTACCTCGCCTGCATGCGCCGAGGACGCGCTGGGCTTCGAGCTGTCGAAAGACCTGTCCATCAGCAACTGGGCAGTGAACAAGCTCGACGACGAGCAGTTAGAACGTAATGCACAATTTCCCCGTGCCCAAAACCGTGCTAATGTCCATCTCAGATGCAGGTCTTGACACCATTGCGTCGCTCAAACTATACGAAGTTCTGGAGGATGCTCTGATGCGAAGGCGGATCGAAATCAATCAAGACACTTGGTATAGATTCAACAGTAGATCCGAGAAGCTGACTAGACGAAAGCCCGGGTACCAGCAGACCGATGTCGCGTGGAGGTGAATAATTGCACATGGTACTCAGGAGGAAAGTTCATTGGATACTACCCTTAGTTCGTATTAGCCCAGAGAACGAGCGGAGAATACGAGACAATAGTAAGAGTTGCCAAGGAAGGCAAAAGAGGCGAAAAGGCATCACTGCATCAAAGTTGTATTACAAACGTTAACATCCACAAACTGACGATGTTGCGGTCGTCAATCATTGGGCCATACACCAGCCTCGGGAAAATGCCTAATCAAAATGCGGGTTGACATGAGAATTGAGTAAGTGTCAAGATAATATGCAAACAGTAAACTTTAAACCTACACCGAATTACTCCTCTAAGGCAGGCGAGGGGGAAGATGGTACGGGATCATTGACTCTGATGAAGGTGCGAATAGAATCACTATGCATGTGGACTATTGGGACGATAAAATACAGAGATGGTGGAACATGGATTAACACGTACCACTCGGCCATGAAGAAAAATTGGCTGGGCGCAGGTCGGACAATACCGGAGACGCGGGAACCGTCTTGCGGAGGGAGATCCTTATGTATAGATCAAAGGATCAATTGCTGAGCGGACCGGTTTAAGTGCTTTAAGTAAGGTGTCCATAACAGAGAAGGTGACAGAGAACGCACTGGCCATTATGTGATTGCATGCCAGAACATGACAGAGACCATCACAAACGGGCGGCGCGAGGTAATGTAGATGACCAAAATGAAAGACAAGTCAGATAGAATGGCCAACAGTACAACCAAAAGGAGAGACCATTGCAAACGGGCGGCGCGAGGTAATGTAGATGACCAAAATGAAAGACAAGTCAGATAGAATGACCAACAGTTCAACCAAAAGGAGCAGCCGTCAGTGATTTTCTACCTTATATGGAAAAAAAGAATACACGAGTCTCGTACGTCATAGTGGCCAAAAAACATCAGCTTTGGCGTTGAAACGGAAGTAAGAACGAGTCTAAAAATAAATTTTTAGGACTCGTAATAGCCCTCCATATCGAGTCTACACGTCTTGTCGGACTTGTATGTACATATGTAACCTCATGAACGAATGAATGAATGCTATGTCCATGCAACGCCCGACGCATATCATCTCATTTGGAGCTCTACATTCAAATATGTACGCAGCTCGGAATTCCTGACATTCATTAGACTAGATTATCTCTCTTCGCCTGGTTGCGTCCACCACTGATTTTCGCTCCATTTATTCCGGTGCACGTCCAAGCTAAGAACTCGGACGTGGTGCACGGTGCACGCCCGCTCTCTCTGCCCCACGTCGACCCCTCGGTGATGCGGGAGGCCTGGGTTCGACTCCCAGCGTCCGGATGATTCTTCGAGTCGCGGTCTTTTTTCTCTCCGTTTCCTTCTTTATATGTAGCGGTGAGCTTTTCGTTTATTTCCGGCGGCTGGAACAGCTGAATTTATTTTCTCCGCTGCAGCAGAGCCGGAGGTGATGTCAGGTTGAGTTAATAATATTCTTCTGTTCAGGTTCACGCCATTTTCGATGCCAGGTAGTCAGGTGCGCAAACAAGGCTAAGAACTCGGACGTGGTGCACGGTACACGCCCGCTATCTCTGGCGGGAGATGATCATTGACATGGATGTGATTCGGGAGCTCTGGGTTCGATTCCCAGCGTCCGAATGTATTGGGGGGGGTTTCCCTTTTTTCTCACTCCGGTGACGGTGGACCTGCGGCTCAGCGCGCAGAGATATTTTAGACTTCAGAGCGCCCGCTGAGGGTGGCTCAGTTCTGAAGTGAAGAGGGGATGGTGAGTCTCCGCCTACTTCCCACTTACATAGAGCGGTTGGTTCATACTGATTTTCGTCCCGTATATCCAGCTGCACAGGAAGGAGGGGAACTCGGACGTGGTGCACGGTGCACGCCTGCTCTCCTTTCAGCATCTCCAAGTAAGCTGTGATGCGGGAGCCCTGGGTTCGATTCCCAGCGTCTGAATTCATACTTGTAACAATCCTTTATTTCTTCCCTAAGTCGATAAGTAATCTTCGTAGCACTTCACCAGGTACAGGAGGAGGCTAGAGATTCGGACGTGGTGCACGGTGCACACTCGCTCTTCCTGGCAGCGGCTCACGGCAGAATGTGGGGGCGGGAGCCTTGGGTTCGATCCCCTGCGTCCCAATAAAAGCGCGAGGCCGGATCTTTTTAGTCCTGCTCCCTCTCCTCCCATTGAAGGTTGGACACTTCCGGCGCCGTCAAGTCTCACCGAGTACAGACGACTTATTTCTTTCGCCAGGCTGCAGAGCCAAAGGCGGAACCATGTTGAATTTGAATTCTTCTGTTCAAGTTTGTGCCATTTTCGATCTCAGGTATTCAGGTGCTCAACAAGGCTAAGAAATCGGACGTGGTGATGAGTAGTTGTGGACCATGACGACGTACTACGACGGGATTCTTGCCTCGAAGCACACGAAGATCTTTACTCGAATTGTTCCCTCGAGGATCAGCGCTCTCGTGCGGCATGCATGTCCCTGGTATGTCGTGCCGACCCTGTATCGATTGGCGCCGCCTATTCGATTCGCGCCAGTGTCAGTGGCAGTATCACTGTGGGTCCCTTCATCTGAGGGTATGTGCATTCCTGCCCTATTAAGGGTGCCCTATTAAAGGCACTCGCAGTGGGTTTGGGGTACACCGCACCGCACCGCATCGATTCTGCAGGGGCCTACGTCTTTCCGTTCTCACTCTGATTTGCACTCGTATGTCGTCGTCCTGATATATGAACTTCTGCCGTTGATTCCGTATCCGCAGATCCTTTAATTAATTAATTACGGGCATCCAATTTCCGGACTTGACTTGATCATCACGTGTAATCTCCGAGAACAGTTCCAACCAACATCTTCAATATTAACCAGGTCAACGAACCCCGAGCAGATCGTTACGATGCGGTGCCCATTTCACCTGTCGTCGTCTGATATAGCTTCTGTCGTTGTCTCATATAGCTTTCTCTGTCGTCTGATATAGATTGGCACCGCTGATTCCGAGTCCGCGAATCGTTCAATTATGGGTACGTATTCGTGTCCTGGTGCACTGCTCAGACGGGGTTCTCGAGTCCGAGAGGATCTCGACGCGAGCTGTTCCTGTTCACTCGAAGATCAGCGCGCCCCTCAACCGCGTATTCCATTGTGGACCTCGATTATGGGCATTAATCCCGTCAGGTACACCGCCTCCCAACCCGCCCCGCTCTGAATGCTCAGCGCGCGCATGAATTTATCAAGTAATTCCCCTCTGGATGGCTCGTCTACTGCACTATTAAGACCAACTGTTCAGGTGACGGGTGACGGAGGGTCGTGAACTGAACATTTGGGACATAGGTGACGAACTCCCAGCGTCCGAATTACAAATGGTGCGCAGCCTTTTTTTACTTGTTCGCTCCCAGACTGATGATTTTTGCTCCCACTTAGCTAAGGACAGAAGAGGGAGGAGAAGTCGGACGTGGTGCATGGTGCACGCCCGCTTCTATTACGACAGGGATGGAAGAGGGAGGGCAAGTCGAACGTGATGCACGGTGCACGCCCGCTCCTATTATGACGTTTCCGCCATGGAGGGTGGGAGCTCTGGGTTCAATTCCCAGCGTCCGAATTCTTCATTGTCGCAGGACCTTTTTTCCCCTTCTCCAAGCTGAAAGTGTTTTCTCGCACTTCACCAGATGAAGAGTAGGGCGAGAAACTCGGACGTAGTGCACGTTGCGCGCCCACTATATATAGCTGCTTCAGTGAGGATACATGCGGGAACCTTGGGTTCGACTCCCAGCCCGAATGCAGCACACGCCTTTGCGTTCTTTTTGCTCTCATCCAAGCTGGTGGTTTCCTCTTACTTAGTAAGGTACAAAGGAGGATTAGAACTCGGATGTGGTGCACGGTACACACCCGCTTCTCTTTGTAAAACAGTTTGTCTTTGTTGAGGTGGGAGCGCTGGGTTCGACTCCCAGCGTCCGAATAACAACTGGTGATGCAGGCTTTTTTTACGTGTTCGCTCCCAGGCTGATGATTTTTTGCTCGGAGCACGCCCGCTTCTATTACGACTTTTCCGTCATGGAGGGTGGGAGCTCTGGGTTCAATTCCCAGCGTCCGAATTCTCCGTTGTAGCACGACCTTTTTTTCTTTTCTCCAAGCTGATAGTGTTTTGTGGCACTTCACCAGATGAAGAGTAGGGAGAGAAATCAGACACAGTGCACGGTGCACGTCCGTGCTCTCTATAGCTCTCTGATGAGGATACAGGAGTGATGCGAGAGGCCTGGGTTCGACTCCCAGCGTCCGAATAAGCAAATGGTGATGCGAGCTTTTTTTACTTGTTCCCTCCAGGCTGATAATTTTCCTGTCACTTGGCCAGGGACGGAAGAGGGAGGGCAAGTCGGACGTGGTGCACGGTACATGCCCGCTCTATCTGCCCACTGTAAAAGCTGATGGCGGGAGCCCTGGGTTCGATTCCCGGCGTCCGAATGTTTGGTGTGCCGATCTTTTTTTTTTTGGGTTCCGAGCTGATAATTGCCATGTCACTTCGCAAGGTACACAGGAAGGTGGTAACTCGGACGTGGTGTACGGGGCAGACTCGCTATTGGTCCGCCAAAGATCCACACTTGGATGCAGGAGGCCTGGGTTCGATTCCCAGCGAGGTACCTCTCTGCTTTTTGTCGTCTTCAACTTCATACCTGGCATTTAGCCTGGTACGCAACAAGCCTGAGACCTCGGAAGTGGTGCACGAAGGACACCCGCCTTCTCTGGTATCATCGTTTCAGAGCTTAGAGCGGGAAGCCTGGGTTCGAATCCCAGCGTCCGAATGAGCTTTGTAGAATACCATCTCTTTTTCTTCAAATTCAATTGTTAAATTTTGTCTGATTTATTCAGGTACATTCCAGGCCTAAGAACTCGGACGTGGTGCACGGCGCGCACCCGCTCTTCCTAGTAGCGAGGCACACGATTTGGAGGCGAGAGCCCTGGGTTCGATTCCCGGCGTCCGAATAGCGTCGTTTGGACTTTGTTTTTGTTCTTCAAGTTTCGACTACTAGTTTTCGAATTTCCTCGTGATATATCCAGATAAAGAAGGAGGAGAGGAACTCGGACGTGCACGCCCGCTCGCTTTAAAGTTGAGTGTTCTGATCTCAATCTTTCGAGGCGGGAGCCCCGGGTTCGAGTCCCAGCGTCCGAATAGCTGGGCATCGTTTGTTTATTTTTCTTCGAACTACGGCTTTCATCACATTTATCCAGGCGTGGAATCGAACGTGGGGCACGGTGCACACCCGCTCTTATTACTAAGACTAGTTCATGATCCAGGCGGAAGACCTGGGTTCGGCTCCCAGCGTCCGAATACAACTCCTCTTTCTTGGCGGGGTTGTGATTGGAATGACGATGGACCTGCGCTTCAGTAATTTCTTTAGAGCGGGCGTTGAGGGTGATTCGAACCTCGTGAGAATGCATAATTTATTTTCCTTCTACTTCACGGGTGCCAGGGAGGGGTTCATGCTGACTTTCCTCCCACTTATCCAGGCGTGGAAAGGGAATAAGAATCGGACGTGGTGCACGGTGCACCCGTTTTCCTTTAGAACTCATGTTGGTGAGCAGCGGGAGCCCTGGGTTCGACTCCCAGCGTCCGAGTGTCCAAAACGGTATTTGCCTTTTTTTTCCTTCCTGGGCCAGCCTTCCGGTCCATTGCAATGCACTTCCTTCGATTCCATCTGCGTGCGGCATTTATTTCAGGCTCTTTACTTAATTTATTTCCAGTTCTTTCCTTCGGCCTTGCATGGCCCACGCTAATAATATTTAGTTCATGTATTCAGGGACACATGAAGGAAAGGAAGTCGGACGTGGTGCACGGCGCGCACCCGCTCTCCTTGACGGCCCGGAATTCTCACTGGACAAGCGGGAGCCCTGGGTTCGACTCCCAGCGTCCGAATACATAGGGCTCGAACGGGGTTTCTTTTGGTGCTGTCCTGCCTCTGCTCGCTCTTCTGACTTTGATTCAACACTTTTATCTGTTCAATTCACGGTGAAATTTTCGTAAGCATTGAGCCAGGTATGCAGTTCAACGAGCTCCTCGTGAGTGCGGATGACATCGCTCTGGACCGTCGCATTTCGGTGGATGAGGCCGGTATCTCCAGTATCGATATTCAATCCTGATACCTACTCTCGTCATCAATACGCGAGAAGGAAAACCTAAATGCAGTGCAAGACTGGAACAACACGTACCAGATTCTGTACAATTTCGCCCATGACGTCTCATGCATCCTCGTCGACATTTGGCTTTTTCGCCGGAGGAACGCGGAGGATGCTGATCTCGCGCAGATGAACCAGGAGCGGGATAAATTGGATCCCAAGATTCGCGAACGATTCCTACATTCGACATTCAACATATGCTGAATCGAGCGCTGGCAATGGGCACACATCATCGGTGGGCTCGCCTCCCGTATACGCGATGTGCAGGTGCTCACACTTCGGCAGGCAAAGGGCGAGTGCCACTGAAAGCCGCTGCACCGCCCTTTTGAGCTCCTAAGAACTCGATAAGTTCGATAGCCATCTCACTTTTTTCCTTCATGATGACGTCCTCGCGTGAGGCGGAGAGGTCAAACTTCCCCAGATCGGATTCGACCGTGCCAGCCCCCGCATAATCAGTGAAGCCCAGCAATTCGGAGGGAGAGTGGTATCAAATCAGCCAAGTGAGTGTCGAATGGGGAACAGAAGAGCGATAGTATAAGGAGTTTTTACGACAGAGTCAATTGAGAAGAACACTCGCTTGCATAGCCTTTGGAGCGGTGACCATATTCAAAGGTTGCGCATCTAACAAGTGACAAAAGTAACGCAAACGCAAACTCGCGCTAAGAAGGCATGTCACCAGAGTGGAGTGAAGCCCAACAACCACCCTGGTTATTATTTGAGGGTGGCGGGGGGCGGATCGGGAGAGCGGGATTGAATTGGCACAGAGGAATTGAATAGCGGAAGATTGTTACAGGGGGGTTACGAGACAAGTTAAGTTTGTTTTTTCAGAAGCAAAATTAGATCGAAGCTCGGCATTAGTTAGAGGGACCATCAGCGGCCAAGGAAAACTTACTGTTGGATAGTGATGACATTGAAGGCATTGGCTAACGCTATGATTATAGCGCACATCTGATTTACCTATGTTGATCATTCAAAGTACACTACGACTACAGTAGAGATTTTTCTCGGCATACCACATAGAACACTTTATCCTGCTTCTTATTCTAAGCGGAACCATTTGTCTTCTAGGGTCATTATAAAATGGTTTAACAACTTGAACGGGATGAAGGATACTAACTAACCTGGTAGATCTTGATCTTACTCAGAGTATCAGAAAGTGATTGGAACCTGGTGGATTTAGCAGACTTGCCCTGCTTCTTGTATGTGCGAATGCGAACAAGAGTTTCCATGGTCCACAGGGTGTAAGGATGGGCCGGTCCCAAGACCTGTTTCTGCTTTTCGGTAGCTACCACTGCCAGCTCTTCTGCCTCATTTGATTTCCCTAGTTTGAGGTAAGTGTTAGCCAAGTTGCCCATGGTAAGCAGGGTGTCAGGATGGTCTTCCCCCAAGACCTGCTTCTGCCTCTTCATCACCGTCTCCTCAAGTTCTTTTGCCTCCTTGAACTGTCCCAAATTGGAGTAGGTACTGGCCAGGTTGCCCATGGTCAGCAGGGTGTCAGGATGGTCTTCCCCCAAGACCTGTTTCTGCTTCTTTATCACTGTCACCTGAAGCTCTTTTGCCTCCTTGAACTGTCCTGAATTAGAGTAGGTACTGGCCAGGTTTCCCATAGTCAGCAGGGTGTCAGGATGGTCTTCCCCCAAGACCTGCTTCTGCTTCTTAATCACTGTCACCTGAAGCTCTTTTGCCTCTTTGAATTGTCCTGAATTTGAGTAGGTACTGGCCAGGTTGCCCATGGTCAGCAGGGTCTCATGATGATCTTCCCCCAGGACCTTCTTCATTTTTCTTATGGCTGTCACCCCAATCTCTTCTGCTTCCTTTGCTCGTCCCAAATCAGAGTAAGTCCTGGCCAGGTTCCCCATGGTCCGCAGGGTGTGAGGATGATCTTCCCCTAACACCTGCTTCATTTTTTTTATGGCTGTCACCCCAAGCTCTTCTGCTTCCTTTGCTCGTCCCAATCCTGGTAAAATATGGACCAGCTCAGCCATGGTCAGCAAGGTGTCTAGATGGTCCTCCCCCAAGGCCTCTTTGTTTGCCAGAAAATCAGAGTTTAGCCTTGTTGCCTTTTCAAGATCTGGGTGGCCCTCCTCAGGCTCTATGGAGGAACCCTCAGACACTTTATCATGTTTCCCGCTTGTATTTCTCCCAAACTGAATATCTCGGGGCATTTGTGAGATCATATCCACAATTTTATCATGGATTTCTCCTGCTGTCGGCCGTTCCTTGGCACTCTGGAGCCAGCATAGTTCTGCCAAGTTCCAGAGAGGATCTGTCAGCCTGGGGACATCATTGATATCTGGGCGAGTTGGCCTGACTCCGAGTCGGAATACCAGCTCGATGAAATCTGTATGTGACACAGTGGCCAGCGGGGTTTCATCAGTGTACAGCTATTTTTATAGGATTTCAATGTTGAACACAAAAAGTAGTGAAGACAGTTTCACCTCATACATTGTCATGCCAAATGCATAGATATCTGATGGCATTTTGGGCAGTGAGCCTGCAAGGAGCTCAGGAGCCATCCAGCTTCGGCTCCCTGCCAACACAGTCTCAGGTTCAGCTGTGTGAGTGGTGATATCGGCCTTGACTCGAGAAAGACCAAAATCACACAAAAGTGACCTCCCGGAATCTTCAACAAGAATGTTGATCTGAATTGATTGATATTGAGGGAAAAGAACCGAAATTCTCCTCGTCTACTCACCCCTTTTATGTCCCCATGGCAGATCTTGCGTGAATGAAGATATTGCAAACCGAGGGATATATCACGGAGCTACCTCATGTCATCAACAGGTTGCATGGTTGAACAAATAAAACTTACAATATACACAGGATCAAAATCAGGGTGCTTCTTGAGAAATTGTCTCGCATTATTGGGGATGTATGGCATCACAATAAATGGTGTATCATCCAAGGTATTTGCACCAAGGAATTGAAGGATATTTGGATGGCAAAGGGTCAACCAGATCTGTCAAATGATATAGACTTCATACACAGAGTTCAAAATGGACACAAACATTGATTTCTTGTCGCAAGAGCTAAAATCAAATGATTGGCCAAAATAAGACTTGAATGTGTTCAGATCCTTACAACAAGACTGGAAGTAGCGCCTGCAACACTGTGCAGTACTTTGATGGCCACATCCGTTCGATTCCAAGTACCCCGGTATACCTTGCCACTGCATAATAATCAGGACAGTGAAGATATCTCAAAAGGATCAGAACTCACAATCCCCCAACCCCAATTTCGGTGCCAAAATCAACATCAAAGGATCCAATCATCCAGTCCTCCAGCTTGACTTGTTGGCCGCTCATTGAGGTCAGGTATTGAAGTGTGTGTGAATAGAACTTCTTTTCTGGGGGATTGATCTGCTGCTGGCCGTCAAGCCTTCTTTGAATGCAAGCCATCATCGCAATCATATTGTCTTATTTGATCTCTGGGGGACAGCATCTTTCAATTCATAATTAACGAGCACAATGCAGTTGACGGACCAAGTGTTTCTTGCAAATAAACTTGATTCTGCTCAAGAGCTTTCAAGCGAGCATTCAAGACGTTCATGTCGTCATTCCGTGCCAGCTCATTCTTTCCCAGCATACTTTGAATACTCAGCAGTCCAGATATCTAGTGAAATGATCAGCCCATTGATACCACCGAAATTTAGGATCTGCACCTGAAACGCGTTGACAGACATCCCGATGCGGCGATAGAATGCCTCAATGCTAGCAATTCGGGAATCCTTGGTTAAAAGAGACTTGAAGAAGCCCTTGCTTTGCTCCTTGCGAACAAATCGGTGGATATCTTCGAGTAGGCTGGTTTAGATCGTAGTTAGTCTCAAAATCTCCCCAAGACCCCATGCTCACATCTTCAGCTCTGCGAGCTGTCCTCTACAATTGGCCGCAATCAGCCTTGATGACTTGAACTCCGAATCCAATGTGGTCAAAAGCTGGCCGACCGCCACGGCCAGAACCTCGAGCTGCTTTTTGCTTTGGTGAAAATCCTGCGCAGAAGAGGCGATGAATTTGAGCAGCGTGAATGCCGCAGCGAGTGCGGGCACTGGAATAACCCCGAGCACAGCTTCTAGAGACATGGTGGAAGTAAGAGTCAGACAGACGACTGTGGTCCTAGAATCAGCCGTCGTCAGTACATCATGACAACGATCTTGATTCCGTTCCCTTCTCTAGACGCTCTAGACGGATCAGAATATCACAATCAAGTTGCAATCATTTTTGCAAGCGAGCGATGGATCAAATCTTGCGTTTTGAATATAGAAAAAAATGCATTGGTGGGCGGTGGCTACATGTAATATACGTTGTAACTAATGCCCAGAACAACTAGCAAAACTTCTAGGACGTACTGATGCTTTATAGCCCTCAAAGATGAAATCGTGGGAATGGACTTACACATCAGGCGTCGGAGAAGGAAAATCGAAACGTACGTACTTGACAATGATTCCCAACATTAAGGAGGTATTAGGGGCCCTGCGGGCAGCTGGGCAGCTGTGGAAAGTGCCTAAAATGTGGGCGAAGGCAAGGTGAAGGTCAGAGAGACCACAAAACGGCGCGCTTCTTATAGCTTCACCGCCGCCGCGACTACGCTCATCATTTCGTGTGGTCGAGAACAGGACTTCGCAATTTCTTCGAGTCCTCTCACCGTTCTGGGCAACTAAAGATTTCAACAATGCAACAGGGCGACGGCCAGAACAGGCCGGATCCGACAAGATCAACATCTGAACTTGATGGGAAGCTGAACCACGCGCTCCAAGTCTCTAGCCGATGTCTACGCTTGTCTATGCATATGGCCGTCTATACGTCTAAATGTGTCTCTAATAGAACAGTCCATCTAGCGCGGAAAGGGCATGTCTATTCAGAATGCGTTTCCAGATGCGTGGTGGGAAGTCCTTCTATTGTTGCGCTAGGAGCCTCGGCGAATGCAACTGCTCACTTTCAATACACTGCAGGCAGTCTTCCCTTCGTACCGACTGCATACCCGCTCGTCAAGATTCTTCTCAGGCTCGCCTTACTCTGCGATTTTGCCATGGCGAAAGCCGAGCCTGCGCGTTTCAGTGTTCCTCGCATTTGGACGATTAACAGCATTTGTTAATATTTCCTCCAATGCAGGGCGGCTTCCGGGCATCTCACTCCCCAGGCATCCAATCCAGAATCTCCTCAAGCAGGCTCGTCGTGGCATCGCTGCACGACATATACGGCTCAGCGTCCTCAAGAAGGTAGTGCTTCGTTATATTCAGCCCATCAATAGGACATTGATATTTTGCAACAGATGCCGCGAGCGTCAGCCTCCCGGCGGTTCGAAGTATTTACCATTATGAATGGTTCCCGGTGCGCCTGCAGACCTTATTTACTTGGATCTGCTGTTGGATTCGAGGGATTCATTATGATATACCCAAGGAGTACACAGAGGATAGAGGTGGTCCGGAACTAGGGAACGCGCGTCGCGACGCTCGGAGATGAGACGGCAGGTGGTCTTAGTTTTTGCTGATTTGCTAAAGGGCTTTAAGAAAAGAGAAAAGCTTAGATGGCGAGCAGGGCGGAAGGAGTGCGACGCGGAGCGCTCATATACGCAGCAAGGAACCTGGTGCGCGGCGAAGAGGAAAAGTGGCTGTGATGTGGCGGTGTTGCGGGCGGCTGTCAAACCTTCAAGTTTTCTCCTCATCAGGACAACTTTGGCATTGCCGACGCGCTAGCGCAGCTACTCGGGCGCGCTCCGTCCAACACGAACTCCCGCGTACCGCCTCTCGTACACCCCCGCCTCACGCCCCGCCGCGAACGTGTATCCTGCGCTCCCGCCGGGTACGTCTACGCCCAGCCCCAGCCGGTGTACGCGCAGTACGCCCAACCGCAGCCGGTACGGAGCCCGACCCGCGAAGTCCCGCTGCTCAAGCGTGTGTGTTTCTGTTCGGTGGCGGTGGGAAGACGATGCTGAGCAAATGCTGAGTCGGGAGAGCAGCCGGGAGAGCAGCCGGAGCCGGTCGGGTGGGAAGCGGACGCCGAGGCAGGAGACTTATTGAATGAAGGGTAGGCGCAGCGTCACAGGTACGCCGCTTCACGTTATACGCGGTGCCGTGCCCCGTCCTCGCCTCCTCTCAGGCTCTCCTCGTCACATCCTCCACCGCCGTACCGTCCCTCCACGCCACCGGCTGCCATCCTTACCCCAATCGCGCGCCACCACCGCAGGGCATTACGCCGCATCACAGCTCGTCGCCTTGCCTCTCCGCCGACCCTCTCCAATCAACGAACCGCTATCTCCACCCACGCCGATCGCGGACACCGCCGTTGCAACGCCCTTCCCCGCGCGCACCTACACATCTATACATCTTCTCCCGCCCACATACACCCCTCCTCGCCGCCAGACGCCACACTTCTACAACCCAATCAGATACCCGTACATAGACCACATATAATCCCAGTACACCACCCGCCTACGAATACTTCCCGCTACATATGCCTTTCCTCCTACACCCGCGCTATATATACTGAATCTACACAACTACCCGTCTTGTCAGGACTTTTATATACATAACCTCATCAAGTTGAATAAATGAATGAATGCTATGCCCATGCAACGCCCGACGCATATCATCTCATTTAAAGCTCAACATACAAATATGTACGCAGCTCGGAATTCCTGAAATTCATGACACTAAATTATCTCTCTTCACCTGGTGCCACCCACTGCTGAAGGACTCGGACGTGGTGCACGATGCACGTCTGCTCTCCTTAGGTGTATGCAATTGAGCCATCATATGAAGCAGGAGGCCTGGGTTCGGCTCCCAGCGTCTGAATGTAATACCAACTCCGTTTTGCCCGCTTTTTTTCTCGCTCCGGGGACGGTGGACCTGCCCCTCATTGAAAGCGTGCAGAAATATTTTAGGCTGTAGAGCGCACGCTGCGGGTTCTAAATTCCGGACTCCAGAGAATGCAGAATTTATTCTTGCTTTTACTTTTCACTTACCATGGTTCACGTATCATATTCACGGTGATTTTCCTCCCGCTTATCCAGGCGTGCAAAGGGAGTAATAATCGGACGTGGTACACGGCGCTCGCCTGCTCTCCTTGCCAAATCTCTCCTGTACTGCGGGAAGCCTGGGTTCGACTCCCAGCGTCCGAGTAATGTGTGTTCAATGGAATGCTTTTTTTGTGGAACCTGCGGGTTGATTGCACGGACGATGGATACTTCGGCGCGGGCATGGTGGGTGGTTCGGAATTCAGGAGGCGGGGAATGTTGATTATTCTTCCTTCTGTTCAAGTTGGCGCTGCTCCTTTCATCCCATGTATCCAAGTACAAAGGAGTGAAGGTACCTCGGACGTGGTCTACGGTACACGCTCGCTTCTCTTGGGGTTGCAATTGGTTCAGCATTGTATGAGCGGGAAGGCTGCTAGCGTCCGAATGAGCCTTGTAGAATGCGATCTCTTTTTCTTCAAATTCAGCTGTTAAGTTTGTCTGATTTATTCAGGTACACGTCCAAGCTAGGAACTCGGACGTGGTGCACGGTGCACACCCGCCCTTCTTAAAAGGCCTTGACAGGATTTGGAGGCGGGAGCCCTGGGTTCGACTCCCAGCGTCCGAATGGCTGACCACCCGATCTTTTTTTTCTTCGAGTTTCGACCACCAATTTTCGTCTGATAGATCCAGGTGCAGAAGGAGGAGGGAAGGTCGGACGTGCACGGTGCACACCCACTCTCCTTTGAAGAAAAGCCTCTTGCGATGTGGGAAACCTGGGTTCGACTCCCAGCGTCCGAATGCGCCCGAGTTTTCTCTTCAATTTTCCTTTCGGCTCTAAGCTGATCATTTTGTCTCATTTGGCCAGGTACACAACAAGCCTGAGACCTCGGATGTGGTGCACGAAGCACATCCGCCTTCTCTCCGGATCATCGGTTCAGAGTTTAGAGCGGGAAGCCTGGGTTCGACTCCCAGCGTCTGAATGCGGGGAATGAAGCACCCACTTTTTCTTCTTGAAGTTCCAACCGCTAATTTCACTAGCACTTGGGTAAGGATAGACGAGGGGAGGGGGCTGCATGGTGTATCGGTAACCAGCGCTCCTAATCTCTGAGTAAATCAGAGATTGCTGGGCCTCGCTAAGACTGAGGGTTTGAACCCCGGCTAAGCCGTCACTAGGAGGGTTCTAGTGGGTATTACCTAATTTAGGTCGAGTCCCACACTGTTCGGCATCTGCCGTTCGTGCGTAAATGCATTCCCGCCTTTGGAGTAGGGTCACATGTCCCCTACCAGCTTTGCGGACCAGCGGGGCTAACCAATTGTTAGTTGCCAATGGTCATAACAAATGCACCTCCAAAAAAAAAAAAAAAAAAAAGGATAGACGAGGGCAACCAAGTCGGACGTGGTCCATGGTGCACACCTGCTCTCCTTACAATGTAGTCCTTCAACTGGAGCAGGAAGCCTGGGTTCGATTCCCGGCGTCCGAATAGCATCGTTTGGACTTTTTTTTGTTCTTTAAGTTTCAACTACTAGTTTTCGAATTTCCTCTTGATATATCCAGATAAAGGAGGAGAGGAACTCGGACGTGGTGCACGGTGCACGCCCGCTCGCTTTAAACTTGAGTGTTCTGATCTCGGTCTTTCGAGGCGGGAGCCATGGGTTCGCCTCCCCAGCGTCCGAATGTACTAGTATTGACGGCCTTTTTTCTTCAAGTTCAACTAATAATTTTCGTCTGATATATTCAGGTACACATCCAAACTAAAACCTCGGAAATAGTGCGCGGCGCACACCTGCTGTCCTTATGTGTTCAAAGTATGCATATGTTTGAGGCAGGAAGCCTGGGTTCGACTCCCAGCGTCCGAGTGACTTGCCGGAGTTTCTTTTTGTGTTTTCCTGCCCTGATAGGTCTACTGCGTCCAGTCTTCACTGAGTTGAGGACAAGCCGGACAACGGATATCTGGCCTTCGACATTTCCTTGAGCGCAATCCAGGATGAGTATTGATGAGTGAAGGTCATTTTTATTTCATCTCTTCAATTCTGCTGAAAGTTTAGCGCATTTGGCGTGGTGCACGGTGCACGCCGGTTCTCTTAGACTCTAGAGCGCATTTAACTGGTGATACAGAAGCCCTGGGCTCGACTCCCAGCGTCCGAATAGTCTGTTTGTAGACCCCGTTTTTCTTCCACCTGCAAGCTGATAATTACTGAAATGATTTTAGCCTGGTGCGGAAGAACGAGGGAAACTCGGACGTGGTGCATGGTGCACATCTGCTACGATGTATTCTTTCAGCTGAGGCAGGAAGCCTGGATTCGACTCCCAGCGTCCGAATTTTAATTGTAAACACCTCTAAGCTGATACGCACGCCCGCTCTCCTTGGTAAAAATTTACACTAAGTTGAGGTGGGAAGCCTGGGTTCGACTCCCAGTGTCCGAATGCAGCAAGTCACAATGGGAATTCGATTCAGACGAGCCGAAAGCGAGTCATGCTAAAAGGTAAGGTGATGCAGGAAAACGGGGCGCTAGCTCGGGGTTTATTTGCATCGTGGAAAATGGCTGATTGACGGCAAGTGATTAATCAACTTCCCCATACTCAGGTGCCATTGAACATTCAAAACGATTTCATTTCAACTTGAGAAGGAACAGCAGGAACACGATGTTAATATAGTCCAAACTTTTCCAAGCGCACTAGGCCTTCCCGGATCAGCTATTTCCAGGATACTTGGCTGGCGTACTGATTGCTAGGCGGGAGTGATCGGGGCTTGGAACGGAACTCTGTCGGCCTGGGCGACCATGGCGAACATTCCGTTGGTCTGGGAACCGTCGCCCTGTAGATTCTGAGTACCAGTTCCATCTCGTGAGAGAAAGAAAAAGACATACGACGATGGTGTGAGGGAATCCAACGTCGAAGGCATTCATGCTTTCCAGATATTGGATCTGAGCAGGAGAAAGCGAGATAGTGAGAGCCTTGATGTTCTCCAGCATATGTTCAACTTTACGGCCACCGACAATAGGGAAGACATAGGGCGCTTTGTGGAGCAGGTAAGCGATGGCAACTAGAACAATAATCAGTGACCGGTTGATTTAAAAGATAGATAAAAAGACTCACCGGCGGTGACGCTGTCGACGCCGACTTCCTTGGCAACTTTCTCCAAAGCGTTCGACATCTTCTTCTCTTGTGGAGTACGCTTCCAGCCGTTGTCGTCAGTCTTGATGTCTCTGCCCATTTCGCCGCTCTTTTCCCGACGTTCCTCTTCTGCGTCGCTGCGAAGCTTTCCGCTAGCCAGAACGTTCCAAGGACACAAAGCCATACCGTGTTCGCGAGCCATGGGAAGAATATCACGCTCGAAAGCACGATCCATGACGTTCCAGCTGCCCTGATAGACTGCAAATGGAGTCTTGCCGTGGTCAATGGCGTACTGGTTGCACTGGGAAACAACCCAAGCTGGCGTATCGGAGATTCCCTGGTGAACGATAAGAGATCTAAATGCCACAAAACAAAAAAGCTACTAACTAAATAAAGAACCTTGCCCGAGACGACAAGGCTATGCAGATTGTCCATGACCTCTTTGATAGAGGTCTCGAAATCCCAGACATGCACGTAGAACAGATCGATGTAAGAGGTTCGAAGCTTCTTCAAGCTGGCTTCAACGCTGAGATGCATGGATTTGCTATTGTTTCCGTGATAGTTGATTTTATATTTGATGTCGGGGGAAGCGAGCTTGAAGTTGAAGCTGTACTGTATGGAGAAGTAAGGAACCGGGGCACCGTTCTTTGCATCGACAGGAAAATACCTTTGTAGCGATGACCATCTGATCTCTGATGCCTCGCGATTCCATCCATTCACCAATGAACATCTCCGAGGATTCGTTTTGGCTTGAAATTTGGTTAAAAAAGCCGAAGAAAGCGAGAGATTCACTCACTAATTGTTGGAAGTATCGATGAAATTGCCTCCAGCCTCAAAGAAAGCGTCCAAGAGCTTGAAGCTGGATGTCTTGTCCATGGATCCAAAGCCGATGGCAGCCCAGGCGTCTCCGATGCTCATGGCTCCAAGAACCAGTGGCGAGACATGGATGGAAGCATGCTTGGACAGAGCCCGGTATCGTCCGAGGGGAGTTGGTGGTGGTGGTGCTGCAGTGAAAAAACTCATTTTTACAGGTATCGAGGAGGAAGAAGGGCGTAGGTAGTTAAGTCGCTGGCGTTAGCTTATAAATAAAAGGCGTGGGTCAAGCGTGGGTGCCCTCGGGCACTGCCGAGAATTCGGACAAGAAAGAAGCTTGCTGGGACGGTATGGGCACGTCAAGATATTGGCGACGGCACCTTATTTTCGCCGTTCCGCGACGTAGTGACTTGCCGTGGTACGCGCGGCTCCACACGTCATCCAGTTGTTTGGTGAATCTTGGGTAGGGATAGCACTCTCTGAGCCCACGCCAAGCAATTGCTGACGCGGCCTCATATCTGCTCGGCAGAACCTGATGGAGGCGGTGTTCAGACCATCATGCCGAGGCGGCTACACAAAGAACATCTCCGCCTCCATTTAAATTCGGCTGAACGCTGCCGTTGTTGCAAGCAAAAGCGGGACCCCCAGGACGTGGCTCGGACGCCGGCTCGTAATTCCAGCAGTCAAATGCGGCACTTTACTGTATGCCAATTTATGATTTAATTGCTCCTCATCCATCATGGACGCGTAAAAAAACAGGAACGCAATATCGGACGGTGTCATTTTTAAACAACATAAACGCCGCGCCGAGATACCCGAAAACGAGTGCACACGCCAGGTACGAGCGTCGTATGTGTTGAAGCGTCTGTCTAGGAGCGACTAGAAAACGAGAGGGTTTAACGTCACAAGGCGAGCTTCTTGCCTTCATGGAATGTTGGCTTGGCGGAAGATCGAAATATCTCAGTTATTGTATAGACAGTGCTGTATTAATTCGATCAATTCGGCGACGGTATTGGCACGTCAAGATATTGGCGACGGCGCCGGGTTATATCCCCTTGCAACTGCGCATCCAGGAGCCACTCGAAGTGGTCAATTACGGACTCAGCTGTGTCGTCACTGCGCAACTCATTCTCGCAAGCGCCTCAACACCAGGCACATCCCTAGGGGCCAATAGGGCTTCCCACGCCGATAGAGCGCGAATGGGTCGAGGAAAACACCGAGATTGATGATCGTCTACCCGGGGCCGCGGATAATGACCAAATAGATACTAAGGTAATATCGCACCGGTGATCCTTGATTGTCTACGGCATCTGGCATCCACAGTTTGCGGACGTACTCTAGTTTTTCGAGGTTCTTCGCTCACTGCAAGTCTGCACCATTCCCATAGAGCGGCTAGGCTAGCTAGACTCGTAGCCAGCGTCTCTACGTGAGAGGTTCGTGACAATGGCTGTGTATCCCTCCCCATCCTGAAAGCGAGACTGTTCTCAAATCGACGGATCCTGACATACTTGGACATACGATGTATTAATTATCTCCCACTTCCACTGTAATTGCCCTTCACTTGGCAAGGTAGGCAGCAAGGATGGGAAGTCGCACGTGGTGTAGGTGCACGCCTGCTCCCCTTTAGAAATGTTCTTTGTTGCAGCGGGAGCTCTGGGTTCGACTCCCAGCGTTCGAATGCTTTGAGAGCACTCTCTCTTGTTCTTTCAGGTTGAGCGCGAACCATTTCGGTCACTTCCGGCGACTGGGACTAGCACTGCTGAATTTATTAGCTGGAAGCGAGATGGATGTTGAATTTTCTATTATTCTGTTCAGGTTCATGCCATTTTCGATCCCAGGTATTCAGGTGCACAAGAAGCCTAAGAACTCGGATGTGGTGCGCGGTGCACGCCCGCTCGCTTTGAAACTCCGAGTGAGCTGTGATGCAGGATGTGATGCGGGAGCCCTGGGTTCGAGTCCTGGAAATCTTCTACGCTGTTCCCGTGTTTCGGTTGAGTTCGAGACGCTAACCCCCGTTGATGTGCTAACCTTATTTTGCTTTCTTGTAGTCTT